TGTCTCCAATTTGCTAAGAGAGAGTCTTACAGAACCTAACATAATCATGGCAGTGACATTCTGTCATCCATACCATATTCTATTGGCTGGAAGCAAGTCACAGTTTCCATACAATCAAGGTCATACATACAAGGGCACAGTTTGTCAGAGGTCACCTTATAATATGTCTACCACAAAAGGACAGAAGCAAGATTTTGGAAAGTGGCAGAATGGGAAGAAAGTTAGGAAATGAAGATAATGAATATAAAAAGTTTTCCAAGATCTGATTATGCCAAAGAAGAGAGGAAAAAGTCAGTAACTTGAGAAGTCAACTTGAAGGGACAAAAATAAAGAAGGGGTTTTTTAATTTTTAAATTCAAGATAGTTGCTCATGGTTAAATGCTTATGAGATGAAACCTACTAAAAGGCTAAAAATACTCAAGGAAGAAAAAAGGAGTAATAATGGCTAATGCTTACTATGTGCCAGATACAAAAGCATTAAATAGTAACTTGATTTTGCTCATGTAATCTTTATGAAAACTTTATGAGATGGATTCCCTAATAAACTCCATTTTTACACTAAGCGAACTAAGAATTAGGGAAAATGAACGACTTGCCAGTGATGGCAAATTACAGAGCTCGGAGATGAACTAGGCAGTATGACTCCAGAGCCTATCCTCTCAAGGATTTAGGTTCCCAAGAAGGTGGACAAGATGGCAATTTTCTCATTGTAATGTGAAAATGAAATTATTGTTAGCACCCAGCTCTCAGATTGTCTGATGCATATTAGCTACTTAATTAATGGCACCTACTTATTACTATTGCTATTAGTCCTCTATACTAGCTTTGTAGTATTGAGGGCCTTTCAAAAAACCCAAAAAGGTGGACAAAATGGTGGATAAGTGTCAGAGGGGGTCTAACCTCTTTATATTATTCAGGAGAGTAATAGCTATACAATATTGTTTAACTTCAGATTTTGCTATAAAAAGACCTTTATTTTCTAAATATGGATAGGAAACCTGCCTGCCATTAGCTAGACTCTTTCACATCCCCTAAATAGCAATTCAAATCTCCATCCTATAAAAAAATATAACATTCACTAGATAAAGTTTTACTATGAAAACAACCATCCAGTGGATTTCCTGAGCCTGCGGGTTTGAGACCCACCTGAGCAACTTGGCGAGACCTCGTCTCTACAATAAGTCAAAAATTAGCCAGAAGTGGTAGCGCATGCCTATAGTTCCAGATACTTAGAAGGCTGAGGCGGAGGGATCACCAGAGCCCAACAGGTCAAGGTTGTGGTGACTGGGAACGTGCCCCTGCACTCCAGTCTGGACAACAGAGTGAGACTCCAACTCAAAAAAAAGAAAAGAAAAGAAAAGAAAAAACAACCATCCTAAAGAATTTCACGTCGTCCATACCACTACTCATAATTTCACAAAACGATGCATATGAACAACAAGTATCTCAAAGAATTAACAGTCAGGACTTAATCTTTGACTGGAATGGTGGACTAGTTGTTTCTAAAGAAATTGTCTAGGCCAAAGTTTCTAGGTGGTGTCTTTGGCAACCACATACACATACACATACACAGAAACCCAAAACTAGAGTGGCACACACACCGTGGACAAATAGGAGAATAGGAATTGCACTGAGGGCAACCAACAGCAATATTGTAATCTAGATATCATGTTCACGTGAGCAGCAAGGAAGATATTTGAGTCTGGCACTCATTCAATGAATTGAAGGACCCGGGAAGAGCCAGTGGATTAGCAGACTCCTACAATAGCTGAGACAAATCCTATGTGGAGAAAATAGCCTCAATTTAGGCCTTTGGATTCCTACAGATGAAGATCAAGCAAAAACCTCAGAAACAAAGATTGCAAGCACAGAAGGAGACTAGCCACTATTAATGGGAATTGGCAAACCTAAAAAGCAACAGCCTTTGACGTCTTAGAAATACAGACGTTAGAATTGTCGGGTACTGAATAGTTAATATTTATAAAATATTTAAAGAAATGAGGTTGAAATCACAAAGATGATAGGGTAAAAAGAAATTACTAGAAATGATTAGGCAAAATTTGAAAATAACTAAATGGAGCTTCCAGAAGTAAAAAAAAATTACTGAAATAAAACAAGAAGACACAGCTAAAGAATTTGTGAACTTGAAGAAAAATCTGGGGGGAAATTACATAGAATAAAATAGGGATGAAGATAGGGTAAGATAAATGTAGGCTAGAAAAACCTAACATACATCTAATCAGACTCCCAGAACTATAAAATAGAGAGAATGGAAAAGAAACAATATTTAAAGAAATACTGGAAAAGACTTTTTCAGAATAGATGAAAGATATGAATCTATAGATTCAGATAACTTCTCACAAGCAGAAAAATATAAAGAAATTCACAATTTATACAACTTGTAATGAAATTGTAGAATACTAGGAACAAAGAGAAGATGTTAAAAGTAACCAAAGATTCAAGAAAAAAAAAAATACCAAAAAAGGAAGGATAATGTAAATGGAGAATTCTCAGCATCGATAGAAGCCAAAAGATAAGCTAATAATATCTTGAAAATGTTTAGGAAAAAAATCACTGCCAACTTAAAATTTTGTTATAAAGTAAACAAAAAAATGAAAAGCTTTATTATTGACAGATATTCACTTTTCTTTCAGAAAAAAAGAAAAATTACCTCAGGACAGTATGACATGTAATAAAAAAATGAGTGAAGAAAATAGAGGAACATCTATGTAAATATAAATATTATTTACATAAAATAATAGTAGTAGTTTTATTTTCTATTGTAATTTGTAGAATTTTTAAAGTACAGAACTGAAATATAAAACAAAAAGAATATTTCAGTTGGGAAAGTAGGGATAAGTGTTATACAATATTGTTTAACTTCAGACTTTGCAGTAAATGCATGGCAACAACTTAAACAGTAACAGCTAAAATAAAAGTGAAACAAAAAGAACAGAGAGAAAAATGGAATATGGACAATTTTTTTAAATAAAGCATAAACAGTGATGAAGAGATTTAAAAAGAAGGACAAACATGAAACACCACAATTAATGAAGGATGAAGACTAATCTGACAAAAGCAAATCCAAGTAGAAAAAAAATCACAGGGAATAAATTTTCTAAGTAAAACAAAGGTATTATCTGAATAGAGTTTCAGAAATCCTGTTGTAAACTGTTTATAAGCAATGAACCCAAAATGTAGAATATGGAAAAGTAAAAAGATATAACCAAGAAAAACTAATCAAAATAAAGTAAGCATAATGTAGCAAAGCAAACATTAAGGGAAGAATTATTACTAAAGATAGAGTTACCAAGCAATGATAAAATGTTCAATTCTTTAGGGAGTAGTAACTCTTCTAAAGTTGTATGTCTGTAACAAAATAGTCTCAAATTGATAAACTAAAAACTGAAAAAACAAGAGAGAAAAACCGACAACCAACATCAGTAGATGATTTAACATATTTTAGTTGGTGACAAATCAATTAGGTAAAAATACACCTCCTGAACAATGCATTAAAAAATCAGACCAAAGGAAAATTTATAAAATATCAGTTGGATACACACCAAACAGTAAGAAATCACCTATTACCTGTACGATGACCACTTGCATACCTAATTCTGAACTGTATCCCACATCTTTAAAATAAAAAAACTTTTAAAAAAAATCACATATTTTTGCAAGTACACATGGAAGATTTACAAAAATAATTCTGAACACATTCAAATAATCAGAATGTAGAATTTCTCTTCACAGTGTATCTGGAAGTTTTAAAAATGTTTAAAGAATTCATGTCAAAAAGAAATCCTACTGTAAATGTTTAAATATGAAATTTAGTAAATATGAGACTTTAAAATACATAATGCTAAATGCTTACATTATAAAAGAATAAAGGTTGAAAATTAACAAAATGAGTATCCAACTGAAATTTTAAGACAAACATCAAAAATATCTTTCAATAAAAATAGCAGAGACTATAAAGAGTAGTTTTCAATCAAACAGAAAACAAAGATAGACAAAGAGAATCACAAAACCAAAATGTGTTTCTTTGAAAAGATATTTCTGACAAGATTAATCAAGAATACAAAAGGGGCTAAACATGGTGGCTCACACCTGTAATCCCAGCACTTTGGGAGACTGAGGTGGGAGAATTACTTGAGCCCAGGAGTTCGAGACCAGCCTAGACAACATAGCAAGACTTCATCTCTACAAAAAAATTAGCTAGGCATGGTGGTGCATAACTGTACTCCTAACTACTTGGGATGCTGAGCTCAGGGGGTTGAGGCTGCCATGAACCATGATTGCCGTGACTGTGCCACTGCACTCTAGCCTAGGTGACTTGAGTGAGACCCCCACTCAAAAAAATTAAAGAGACACTGGTAAATTGTAAAAGGGTTATGACTACAGATTCAACAAAGATTAAAGCGATAATAAGTGATACAATGAGCAACTTTATGCAAATAATTTGAAAACTTAGATGAAATTGACCTATTTCTTGAAAAATGCAAGTTACCAAAACTGAAGAAAAAAAAAGGACTGAATATTTCTGTATCTATTAAAGAAAATATTGCAGTTGTTTTTACAGGTTTCTTCTACCAACTTCTCAAAGGATAGATAATTGCATCTTTAGACACACTAATTTACAAATAAAAAAGGACTATGTTCCCAAATTATCCTATGAGACCAACACTCAAATTCACAAAGCCTTGTTACTCAAATCTAACAAAGTTAATTCCACTCATAAACCCAAAGATTCTCAGAAGCAAATCAAATTCAGCACTGTATAAAAAAAGATTACATGCTCTCATTAAATTGTTTAACCCAGGAATGTTGATATAGTTGATCCAATAGAGGAAATAGCACAAATGTTAATTAACAGAAGAATAAATGATATAGATTTGTAAAAGATGTTTAAAGCACCATACTAAACACAATATATACATCTCGTTAATAGTAAACGTTACTATTAATGTTTAGTAAATGTTACTCAGAGAACTTTTCACCTTGATTCTCTTGGCCTTCATTTGTGCTTTTGCTAATACAACATACATGGTCGCCTCAGGTCTATTCCAAGTGATTGCCTCCAAGACCTGAATGGCCTTGTCATGGTTTTCACAAAATGAATAAATAAGTGCTTGCTGTATAGAATTCAGCTCAATGAGACCTAAAAGGAAAGGAAAGTTTATCAATATCTTTGTTAAGTATCAAGGATTTAGAATATAATTATGTTAAAGAAGTTAAATAATTCAATAATATTTCTTTATAATATAAATTGACATATCAGCAAATTATAAAATCAATAAATTACTCTAAAATCTATTTACTATCAGCAAGCAATAAGATATTCCAATTACAAAAACAGCCAAATATAAAGCCTGATATTTCCATAATAATCTCTCCTACAAAATTTACTGTTATGAATCATTTTACTAAATGATTTTGCACATATGAAACTAAAGTTTTAAAATCTAACTTTGACTTCAAAGTGGACCCCTCATGATGTCTATAAATAGCTATTGCAAATAGCATTAAAAATTTATAGATATATTTCTTAAGTTAAAATGGTTATAATTTTTCATTAATTATATTTACCTTTGTTTATTTCTGCTACTTGATAAATAGTAAACTTTGCAAGATCATAGCATTTCATCATCAAAAGATATTGTCCTCTGGAAGAAATAATAGACTTTTTATTCTAAGCAGTTAAAAATAATTCTTCTAAGATAAAAATTCCTATGTCATTACTTTAAATTTTACAATTACCATACATTCATTCAAATTTACATATGTATGTATAAAAACAATGTAAAATTATAGACATTTGTATAGTCTAAATAGATCAATTAGCACATAGTGATGAGAATACAATTTAGGAAATGTAATGCTAAAAGAACACTCAAATCTCTTTTGGCAATTATCTGTACTTAAAGCATTATACTTTGTTGCTGAGAAATTATTAAAAGATAAACAAAGTCCTAAGGACACAAAAAGAAGGCAGTATTTATGTAAATAGCTAAAATGTGGTTCAAGAGTTAAAGGAGAAAGAAAGCCCTTATCAGAAAATATTGTTCCATTTCATTTTCCCAGGTCTATAAATCCATAAAGATTATAATATATTTTTTATAGTGGTAATTCATTGCTTGCAAAGAGTCCCTTTATAGAAAGTTCTACTACATTTGAAACACAATTTTTTTTGGTAACTTTTTCTTCACTGAGGTTTATTAGGTACACATATGTTTATGTTTGATTACAGACATAATCAAAACAACCATCCAAAATATGCTACCCATAGGAATAGAAAACCAATGCTGAGTGTTCTCTCTTATAAGTGGGAGCTGAACGAAAGATCCACAAAGGCACACAGAAGGGTATAATGAACACTGGAGACTCAGAAGAAGGAAGGTGGGATGAGAGATAAAAAATCACCTACTGGGTACAATGTGCACAGGTGGGGATGGTGGGTAAAGCCCAGACTTCACCACTATACAATGCAACCATGTAACCAAAAACCATTTGTACCCCCCAAAAGCTTTTGAAATAAAACGCATTTTATAAAAAGGCTGGGTACGGTGGCCTATGCCTATAATCCCAGTACCCCAGAGGCTGAGGAGAGAGAATCACTTGATCTCAGGAGTTCAAGACCAGCCTAGGCAACATAGGGAGACCTTGTTGCTACAAAAAAATTTAAAAATGAGCCAAATGTGGTGGTTCGTGCCTGAAATTCCAGCAATTCAGGAGGCTGAGGCAGGAGGAACACTTTAGCTCAGAATGTAGAGGCTGCAGGGAGCCATGGTAGTGCCTAGGCAAGGGAGTGAGACTCCTACTTGATAGATAGATGATAGATAGATAGATAGATAGATAGATAGATAGATAGATAGATAGATAGATAGATAGAGATAAGAAAGTTTCAAATGTTGGGAAAAATCACTTAGGTGAAAATTTCCATTCACCAACAGTGTCAGATGAATGATGTCTAATTGTGTCTGCATTTAGAAATATTATTCTCAAGAACTTTTTTCCATTACTAGCAGCTTGGTGGTTGAGACAATTCTTATTCTAAAAAAAGGTCAATTTTGGTTTTTTTAATTAAAAAGCACTATTATTGTTGTTGTTGTTGTTGTTGTTGTTGTTGTTGTTGTTGTTATTTTGTGGAGGCAGGGGTCTCACCATGTTGCCCAGTCTAGCATCAAGCTCCTAGGCTCAAGGGATCCTCTCAAAGCATTGGAATTAGAGGCGTGACCCATACCTGGGTTAACTTTGCTCTTGAACTGTAGATTACATGCTTCTTTCCTTGCCCCTTTCCAAACTGGTTTCTCATTGCTTTGCCCCCCCACAAACCTCCTTGTAAAAGTTCAGTTGAAATGGTGCATCTTGTATGTATTTTTTTCCTGACTCTTCTCTTCCCTGTCTTCCTGCCTCATGGCAGAATTAATTGCCCCTTTATCTGTATTTTTATAGCATATCACTCACACTTCTGATATCACACCAATAAAACTATATTGTAGCCTTGTCTTCCCAGAAAAACATATACGATCATTCAGGACAACAAGCCTTGAATATACAACCTTGCATCCTCAGAACTGGAACATCACAGATGCTCAAACTTCTTTAATAAATTCTATTTAATTTTCTAGTTTGATTGTTAGAAATTATTTCCATATTACATATATGGTAATAAAATAATATCCCTAAGTGTAAAAAATAAGATACCTTACTCTCATGAGATATATAATAACTAGTAACCTAGAAAGGCTTCAAATAACTTTAACACTAAACAGTTGTGTTTTGATGCCAGAGTAGAGCAAAAGGAAAGATCTGGTTATCTCATGTAATAAATTATCTTAAAGTTGGGAGATGGTGTTGGGAGACTGAACATAAAATGAAGAAGCTGGAAGAATCAAGAGAGAGAACTAATGATCCTCATTCAATTGGTTGAATCCCAAGTTATCCCAAAGATTCCACTTCTGCGCTCATACCTTATTATATATAATTGGATTCCATCTGGCTGAAGGTGAATAGCACGAGACAACTCATTTACTGCCTTTTTCAATTTATGTGACTGTTGAATGATAAACAGAAACTTAGTTCCTAATACGACTGATTGCTTCCTTTCTGATATTTATCCCCTCCCACATTTTACCACAGAGATTTTGCAGAGATAAATCCATATCCTAATATACCTGTTTTCCTTAAGAATCATCAAAGCAAATGGAATAAGAGAATTTTTAAATGTTTATAAAGTAGTCTTTGTTTTTTAAAATAATACTTTTTTTAAAATTATCTTTAATTTTGAAAAATGATCATGCTTACCTGTACATATGTAAATTTACATAAATGAGATTATAGCATATATTCTAGTTTATGTACATGTGTGTTTTTCTTTTTCTGTTTATCTTTTCAGTTTTTAATCCCTCAACCATAACACCTTTATTACCAAACTTCATCCATGTTAATAAACTAGCATGGGACAATAGATAAAACTTAAAAGTCAATTCCACTTAAAAATAATGGAAGAAAAAAGGCATTCACAAAAATTAAGCACATGGAAAATAAAGCAAAATACAAGAATGATTAAAAAGAGATCTGTTTAACATCGATAAACAATGAAAAGTAAACATTGCTTATTTCCTGAATACTGGCCACAGCAACATAATTTTAATTGTACAAATTTGGGGACAAAAATCAACTACCATTGGAAATATTACAAGAGAAGCATTTCACAGACCACAGCAAAATTAACCTGGGACAACCAACAATTACTCTGACATCCTGGTGCAAAGAAGAGATATACTAATGCAAAAATGACTTGTGATGCAGAGATTGTACAAAACAAATCTGTGGGCAGTATCTGTAGAAATGGTACAAACTGCTTAGAGGAAATTGGAGAACTTCTGTGAAACTTCAAGCCTGTTGCTTTGTAAGCTGACCCTGCACATGCTAGTGTAATTAATAAAGCATATATTCTTATGTCCACAACTGGTTTACCAACCATACATTTCTGTGCATTGCAAAAACCCTGGTTTGGGACAGATGGAGGCTCATTCTCAGATCTCTACAGCCTCCCTGCTAATAGACCTCTATAAGGCAACCTTAGATTGGATTCTGCCTGGAGGCTGAAACCACACCATAGGAATATGTTTTCATCTATATATATGTAAAATTATAATTGCTTTATTTACATGGAATCTTATTGTACACGCCTTATTCTCTTTTCTGAATCAAGCTTTTTTTTTTTTTGAGTTGGAGTCTCACTCTGTCACTCAGCAGGCTATTTTGTCATTTTAAATCTTGATGACAATTTCCCATGAAGTTAACCTCAAAAAGGTCTAGCCTGGGTATCCCCAACCTCCACCGCAGCCTCGACCTGCTGGGCTCCAGCAATCCTTCCTCCTCAGCCCTCCAAGTAGCTGGAACTACAGGCACGTGCTACCACGCCTGGCTAATTTTTGATTTATTGTAGAGATGAGGTCTCGCCAAGTTGCCCAGGCGGGTCTCGAACCCGTGGGCTCAGGCAATCCACTCATCTCAGCCTCTCAAAGTACTGGGATTACAGGCTGAGCCACCAAGCCCGGCTGAATCATGCTTTTCTTACTCAAAAATATCTCACAGAGCTCCCTCCAAGTCAGCTAGCATAGTTCTACTTATATTTTTTATTGACTTTGTCATATTCCATGGTGTGAATGCAACACAAATTATTCAAGCATTACTGTGTAGAGATTTTTGCCTTCCAGAACAATCTTTGAATATATGTCCTTACACCTTCCTATCATGCTGGTGGTTTTGATTTCTATTTGTACTCAGAGCAAACTCCAAATTCCCCAGGTGGCCTTGGTTTTATCAACAGGGTTAGGCTAAGCATTTGAGTATATCCATCCTTTCCCCAACAGGGGTCAAGAGCAAACACCTTGGGACAATACTGAACCTGCCCTAGTTCCTCTACCTCCTTCATGAGCAGGATAAGGACACTGAATGAGAATTGAATCACTGGGTCCTCAGACATAGACAACAGAGGGCAGAGCCTCCAGGCAATCCCAGTGGACATGTAGTATGATCAAGAAATAAACCTTTCTTGTTTCAATACAGTGATTTTGAAGTGTTTTTTGTTTTTGTTGTTGTTGTTTATTTTCTTTTTTAACCTCAGTATAATCTAACCTATCACCAGAATAGACAGCAGACTTGCAGAAAGCAAAGACAGAAAGGCAGAGAGGAATCAGTTGCTGTGGGCTCTTGTAGGCCTTTGACTTTTGCAGGATTTGGCTTTTATTCTAAACACAAATGGAAGCTATTGAAAGATTTTGAGCAAAAAAAAGTGAAATAATCTGATTTATGTCTTGACTAGATCACTGCAGCTGCTGTGTTTGAAATCCACCGAAAGCAGAAAAAACAGAAGCAGGCAGACCAGAAAGTCATTGCAGTAACCCTGATGAGACATCACAAGTTCTTGAACAGGGTAGTCAGTGGAGAAGTGGTGAAAATGGGTGTCTATTTTGAAGGACAGAGAAAGAGTTGACAGTGCTATATCTGGAAAGTCAGATTTGGTTGGAATTCTAGAGGACTTTTATTATTTGTTGTACTTTTTGAAATGGTTACACCAAGGATATGTAACATTTATTTTTTAATAAACAAAATGTAAAGGAAAGTTTGAATAGTTAGGATCCTATTCTTCGCATGGATCCCACTTTATCAACCTACCCACTCACCTGTATACACACACACACACACACACACACACACACACACACACACACACACACCATTGGATCATAGATTCAAAATGCTAACAGTAGCTATCTCTAGAGAATGAAATTACAGACATTCTTATTCACATAGATATATTACTACAATGAATATAAGGTGTTTTTGTAATAAGGAAAAAAAGGAATGATTTTCAAAAATGAATACTTCATAAGTAGAGGCTTTATAAACAGACAATTGTAGTTAACTATTTCTGCTTAACATTTATTATGTATATGTACATTAGCTCCTATAATTAGCTAAAGAAAATATTTTTAATATTTTAAAAATTATACTGAACAAAGACACAGGAAATTAAAACTTTAAAAAATAAAGGTTCTCAAACTTTAAATACCTTATAATAGGCTTCTGCTCGACAAATATAACTTTGAATGCATAACGGATCAATTCTAATAGCTTCAGAAAATTGCCAAATGGCTTCAGTGTAGTTGTCCAGGTATAGCAGATGTATAAGGCCAATATTTATATAAGCCAAAGTAACAGTTCTAAAAAAATGAAGAAGCAAAAATCTTGTTAAACATTTTTAATTATTCTAGATTTTCTCCAATTATGAATGAAATACATACATCAATATATATCAGAGTATTTTTAATACGTTACTAAAGCAAAATAAATACTAACTATTCTCTATTAAAAATTATAAACACCTTTATAAAGTTTTTTGGGGGGGAATCAGCATTTGTAGTCTATATGAGAAACAGAATTCCTAAAGTTTCCTAGACTCTTAGCAAAAACCAACTCTTCCTTGACCTCATCTTAAGTTATTTCCAATACAAGATTAGCTTTTTTTTCCTCAATTCAAAAATCTTTGCCTCAGACTATGTATATTGACCAAGAGTAACACTGACAGTCATATTCAAGGGGTTGTTGGCTTGGAGGTAAAAATCCTCTCCACAACAGGTATTTAACACAGCCACTTTTCTGTATCAAACATTGTTTTCCTCTGTTAGAATAAAACAATTTTCAGTGTGGAAATGGTCTTAAATATTGTCATGTTTGATGCCTCTACTTCAAAATGAGAAAACCACACATTCAATAGTCCAGTCTCATGGAAGACCTGACCTCTTGCCTAGACACCAGAGTTCCTACCACTCACTTTCTAACTCTCTGGAACTGACACTCTTTTCTTTTCCTAGCTGACTCAAAAATGTCCAAAAGAATACCACCCTGGTCATTATGGAGCCACATTCCATGAATCTCCTGTGTCAAGTTCAAAGTTTACCTTGGATAAGTTAAATAAACAGTCTTCTGGTTGGCATGAAATTGACGTAATTATTCTTTCTGACATTTTAATAAAGACTTCATTGTAAAGAGGAATTAACTAAATTCTGTCGTTTACAGTTTGACTTTCTGACTAGTGTGTTTAACTTTAAGTCTGTGTTTCTTCGTGAACCTACAGTCTAAATGGCATTGGCTTTTTGCTTTTGCATTGCTAAACAAAATGAAGCGAAAAGTTCTAAATAAAGGATTGCCTTCTACTGAATTGTATGTTGTACATAACAATGATATATAAAGCAGGCTATTTTGTCATTTTAAATCTTGATGACAATTTCCCATGAAGTTAACCTCAAAAAGGTCTAGCCTGGGTATCCCCAACCTCCTCTTTATAACTGTTGATTTTTTAAGCATGAACTCCACAAATGCATTCAACCTCTAAAATTTGCAGAAGCACCTGAGGTAAACAGATGTTGAGAACAGGACTTATTTTAGAAGTGATCTTATTTTTGGACGTACTCTTCTAATCCTAGGATGACCTTATAATTGTCCAATTTTCTACTATATAATCAATAATGAGGGGGGGAAAGCTTTTCTTTCATCTCAGTTTTTAAAGTTTATACAGTTTTCCACAGAGGCTATACTAGTTTACATTCCCACCAATGTGTAGAAGTGTTTGTTCCCTTTTCGCCGCATCCTCTCCAGCACCTGTTGTTTTTTGAGTTATTGATGATAGCCATCCTGACTGGAGTTAGGCGGTATCTCAGCACAGTTTTAATTTCATTTCTTTGATGACTAGTGAGGCTGAGCAATTTTTCATTTACCTGTTGGCTGCTCGTATGTTTTCTTTGAGAACTGTCTATTCATATCTTTTGCCCACTTTGTAATGGGGCTGTTTATGTTTTTCTTTTCAGCACGTTTGAGTTCCTTGTAGATCCTAGATGTTAAGCCTCTGTCAGACATACAGTTGGCCAATATTTTTTCCCAGTCTGTGTGCTGTCTCCCCACTCTCTTGGTGGTTTCTTTGGCTTTGCAGAAACTTGTCAGTTTAATGAGGTCCCATTTGTCTATCTTATCTCTTATGGCATGGGCACTTGGGATTTTGATCAGGTATTGGTTGCCAGTTCCAATTTCCATAAGAGTATCTCCTGCATTTTCTAAGGTTCTTATAGTTTGAGGTTTTACATTTAGGTGTTTGATCCATTTAGAGTTGATTTCTGTGTACGGTGATAGGTAGGAATCTTGTTTTAATCTTCTGCATGTGGTCAGCCAGTTTTATCAGCACCATTTACTGAATAGTTTCTCCTATCCCCAGTCATTGATGGTGCAGGCTTTATCAAAGATGAATTGGTTGAGAAATTGAGGTTTTTTTTCTGGAATCTCCATCCTGTTCCATTAGTCTATGTGCCTGTTCTTGTACCAATACCAGACTGTTTTTATTACTGTAGCTTTCTAATAGAGTTTAAAGTCTGGGAGTGTGATTCCTCCTGCTCTGCTTTAAGATCTAAAAATTGACCTTCCATATGACCCTGCAATCCCCCTACTGGGAATATACCTGGAAGAACTCAAATCACTCTATAAAAAAGATTTGCACACGTATGTTTATCACAGCATTGTTAACAGTAGCATGAATGTGGAATCAACTGTGCTGCCCATCAAAGAGGACTGGATAAAAAAAAGTGGTACAGATACACAATGGAATATTATGCAGCCATAAAGAAGAACAAAATCATGAACTGCACAGCAACCTGGATGGACTTAGAGTCTATAATACTGAGTGATCTTTCACAGAAACAAAGAACTGAGTATCACATATTCTCACTCATAAGTGGACCTTGAACAATTATTGTAATACTCTAAGAAAAGGATTGGCATAGTAGGAAACTGCCGAGAGGGGAGTTGGGGGAATGGGATTGACAGTAGTGAGAATCTGCCTGGGGAAGGAGGGGGGCACACCTCATCAACAAAGGTACCTACATAATGAACATTTGTATACCTAACCCTGAACTGTACCCCACATCTTTAAAATAAAAAAGATTTTTAAAAGTTTATACAAAAGTGAAATCAATAAGTATGAAAAAGAAAAACATACCTTTCTAGAGATATAACAGTTTCAAAGTCACAAATTGCCAGCATCCAAAGCTTTAGATGTGCATAGAGAATGCCCCGATGTAGAAAACAATAAAGATTCTCATAGCTATCATTTATGAGAGCTTAAAAATAAAAGCATATATCTTACTCAGGTACTGAACAACCACATATGAATTATATTTTAGTCTATAGCCTTCCTATTGCTTATTCTAATTTTTTAACACATGTAATATATCTATAATGAGTGTATTTGAAGAGTAAAAAAATTAAACATAAAAATGTATGTGTTTATTAATAACAATGTGGCTATTATGGTTCACAAACTCATTAGAATTAAAAGAAACCTGGTGGTAACCTAGTATAGTCCACTTACTTTGCAGATGAGAAGATTAAGGTCCAAAGAGGGAAGGTACCTTGACCACAGTTATTATGTAAGTCAATGGCAAAGACTGGCCTGGAATCTAACTCCAGTAAGAAGGATGCCATGACCCTTGAAGGCCTGTTATTATCACGAAGACATTATTACCGGTCAAGGAACAAGCTTGAGTACTAGTCTGCACCAGGGCAGAAGGCAGAAGGCAGGCTTACACACAAGCCAGGATGGGTAGCTGCAGAGACTATGCCAAGACAAGCAGAATTTGGAGTTAAGGCAGGCAATTTGACTATGCCCATCCCAAATAACAGAAGCAAGTGGCAAAAAGAAACTCAGTACTCTAGCTGTGTTGACGCTCATCAGTAACCAGTCTAGAGGTCATCTCATGTTCACACTTACTGATGTCTCCTTCACTTTCAAAAACGTTAGTGAATTAGATGAGTTTCCCACAAGTTTTGGCACATATTTTCTAAGCTTCTCCAGCCCATTCTACTTAGGTTGGTAAGTTTTGCGGAAAATGTTCATAACGTTCACAGTTTGAGGCACAAATATTCCACAGTACCAGATTTGGCCTAAGCATCCAGCGTCACTGATGATCATGCAGATTAAGGAAATACAGTCGTGCATTACTTAATGACAGGGCTTTGTTCTGAAAAATGCTTCATTAGGTGATTTCTGCATCGTGCAAACATCATCAAATGTACTTGCACCAACCTAGATGGTATATATATTTTTATTTATATATATTTTTCATATGGAAAACCAAATGTTCCAGCACCATTAATGAATATTAATCATTTCCCCTACTTGATCTGCAATACCAATATCAAATGCCATATATCAAGTTTCTCTATATGCTCCTTTATAATCTTATGGGACTACTATGGTATATGCAGTCCAATGTTGACTGAAACATTATGTGGTACATGATTGTGATCACTTGAAGGCAGTCTGACTGCTCAGTTCACAGTATGATTGACTAGCAATAAAAAAGTCAGCTGTGGTTTTCATGGATGTTCTAGAGAAATGAAAAAAAACTCCTTAAAAAAATTAGAGTTATTTAACTTCTCTGTACTTTTGTTTTTCTCATAGGTAAAATATGAACGAAAATAGTACCTACCTCATAGCATTATTCTAAATGTTCATTTAAATACTCCCTATTTGGCACTTAGAATAGTGCTTGACAAGTAGCAAAATACTCAAGAAATGTTTGATATTATTACTAGCTTAGAAAAATATCTTAAGGGTCCTTTTTGGTTGTGCATAATAAAACTTCTTAGGCTAATCTATAGGCAAGGACTAAGGACAAAATCAAGCGTGTCTGCTATGAATAATTAAATAAGAGGAATTTTGAATTATTGTGATAGCCTAGAAGGAAGAGGAGAGGAAGTATGAGAAGCCTAAAACTTAGAGAAGAGGGAAATTTGAGAAAGAAGCCTTTAAAGGAAAGCTAGGGAGAAAGAGATTTGGCCAGTGGCAGATGAACAGGGCTGATAGTCAGATGAACTTCCAAAAATGGGGGTGCTTGATCTTTGAATTTAAGTTGTATGTGCTAAACTTATCCTCTGAACCCTAAAGCATTCAGTAACAGGTCAATAGACATAACATACTTGTGTTGATAAAACACTGGGGAATGTAAGACCGGGAGAAAAGCAAAGCAGAGAGAACAGCAATCACAAGAAGTGAGTGGGTGAGTAATGATGAGGAATCCAGTCAAGAGCAGCAATTGGATGCAAAGAGAATTGAACAGGAATCCTTAGTCCTCCTTCCCAAGAATCCTTGGAAATGAGAGGAGGGCACTAGACTCCTCTCAGCTCACAGAATGAGATTTATTTTATTTTAATATTAATAGGAAGGATAACCTTAGAAGCAAACAGACTTAAGACCATCAAGTAACAAGCATCTTAGATTTCCTTCCCTCTGGGAGTCCAGTTATCTCTTCATCTCTGGATGCTCCCTCAGGGGATTCTAGAACTTTGCACCCAAGTTAATGTAACCATGCCGGCAGTGCTGGGCTCAAGCTGTGTTTTGTCAGTCACAGTGGGCCCATTCATTCTGTTGGGGACTGTTTACTGAGCACTTACTCTATGCCCAGAATCAAAAATATCTTAAGGGTCCTTTTTGGTTGTGCATAATAAAACTTCTTAGGCTAGTCTATAGGAAAGGACTAAGGACAAAATCAAGCATGTCTGCTATGAATAATTAAATAAGAGGAATTTTGAATTATTGTGAAAGCCTAGAAAAAAGGTGGGGAGGCATAGGAAGCCCAAACCTTAAAGAAGAGAGAAGTATGAGAAAGAAGTTTTCAAAGGAAGATCAGGGCAAAAGGGATTCAGCCCACACATATACATACAGTAAAAGGGCATATTAGAAACACCTCTAGTAAACCATTATAGCTTTTAAATATACAGTACTTGATTACATATACATTATATGTAGTATATGTAAATGAATAAGCATATATTATACATACTGATATATAGTCATATATAGTAATATACATATTACATTAGCGATCCCACATTAGTATTCTGTGCTATGAAACTGAGATGCTGAATCTATCAGCACCTGGTTAGATTCCTGTATACATGCAGTTGATAGCAAAGTACCTGAAACGCTATAATCCTGTAGCGCTCTAAAAGGGTTACTCTTTCTAAATGAGCAAGCTCGATAATAGAATGCTACCCAGTTACTAGGATCTAAGTGAACTGCAGCAGAAAAATCTTGAGTTGCTTGTTTATGAAAGTTCCGTTTAAAATATGCTCTCCCTCGGTATGTCCTAGAAAAAAAAATTGATTTTAGCATGTATTGCAATATATACATTTTCTCTTTTTGGTAAACCTATATAACTAATGTTACATTTGAGTCATTTGTGATTGTTTTTCTTTGCTTCTCAAGAGAGTTAGTCATAATGTTAATAGCAAAAAAGGATATGAACTTTTTATAAACAAAGTATACTTTACTGCATATGTACTTATATGTTTATTAAGTATACTCTATATTAATTATATACATATTAATTTTATTTTATTTTTTACATTTATCATGGAAGTATGTTATGACATAACTAAATATTTATTTTTATTATCTGTTGTGTCCAAAATGTGTCAGGCACTAATTTACACAAAATTATTCTCTTAAAAAAAACACCAAAATAATAAATTTTTCAGAAAATGGGCTCCAGTGAGAAGTCGTTAGGATTTTTTTCCCTCTAGCATTGAAGATAAACCTAAATAAATAGGAGTCTTCTCTTTCATGGATGAAAGCTACTACACTAGTTGTGTGAACTGAATTCTTTTCTCATTAACTTCTGACTCTAATTTTGAAATTTTAATTGACTTATATCAATTCCTGAAAAACCAATTTTCAATTAGTTAATAATGTGAAGGTATCAGTTTTTAGTAATGAAATAAACATGACAATTAAGGAAAGACAGGAGGGAGAAGCTACTAGGTTGCCTGCTTATAAATCCAAGGAGAAGATAAATGAGTATTCAAGAAGGTAGGCCAGGCACAGTGGCTCACACTTGTAATCCCAGCACTCTGGGCAAGGCAGGATGATTGTTTGAGCCCAGGAGTTTGAGGTCAGTCTGGACAACATAATGAGACCTCATCTCTAGAAAAAATTTTTTTAAATAGCTAATTTTTGATGGGTATGGTAGTGCATACTTGTAGTCTCAGTTGCTTGAGAGGCTGAGGTGGAGGGACTACTTGAGCCCAGGAAGTCGAGGTTGCAGTGAGCTGTGATGGTGACACTAAATTATACCAAATGTTTGAAGAATTAACACCTATCCTTCCCATAATCTTCCAATAAAATAGAAAAAGAGAAAACACTTCCTCACTTGCTTTATAAGACCAATATTACCCTAATACAAAGAACAAAGCTATTACAAGAAAAAGAACCCACATATCAATGTTCTTTACCAATATGGATGAAAAAATCCTCCACAAAATACTAGCATACTGAACACAACAGCATAGTAAAAGGATTATATACTATGACTAAGTGAGATTATCCTAGTAACACAAGATAGTTCAATATATGTAAATAAATAAATATAATACACTTTACAAATGGAATGAAGGCAACAGAAGATAAAAATACACAAATGGGATTATATCAAACTACAAATATTCCACACAGCAAAGGAAGTAATTAACAGAGTGAAGAAGCAACCTATGGAATGGGAGAAAATAGCCCAATTTAAAAATGGATTTAGAGCCAATCATACTCAGTAATCTATCACAGAAATAAAGAACAGAGTACCATATGTTTTCACTCATAAGTGGACCTTGAACATTTATTATAATACTATAAGAAAGGGATTGGCAGTAGTGGGAAACTGTCAGGGAGACGGGGTGGGATTGGCAGTTGAGGGAAAGTACTAGAGGAAGGAGGGGCATACCTCATCAACAAAGGTACCTGCATAATCAACATTTGTATACCTAACCCTGAATTGTACCCCACATCTTTATAATTTAAAAAAAGAATTTAAAAATGGGCAAAGGACCTGAATAGACATTTCTCAAAGCAAGATATACAAATGACCAACAGATATATTTTCGAAATGCTCAACATCAGTAAGCATTAGAGAAATGCAAATTAAAACCACAAGAAGCTATCACTTCACATTATTATCAAAAGATGAAAGATAACAAGTGTTGGCAAGGATGTAGAGAAAAGGAAACGCTTGTATACTTTTGGCAGAACTGTTAACTAATAAAACCATTTTGAAAAGCAGTATGGAGGCATCTCAAAAACTAAAAAGATAGCTATCATATGATACAGCAATCTCACTCCTGAGTATAATAAATCCAAAGGAATTGTAATCAGTATGTCAAAGAGATATCTGCATGCTACATTTCTTGCAGTATTATTTACAGTAGCCAAGTGATGAAGATAACTTAAGTGTCTACAAACAAATGAATAGGTAAATAAAATGCAGTGTATATATAAACAGTGAAATACAATTCAGCCTTATAAAAAGAGGAAAATCCTATCATTTGCAACAGCATGAATGGACCTGAAAGACATTATGTTAAGCAAAATAAGCCAGGCACAAAAAGACAAATACAACATGTTCTCATTTATATTTGGCATCTAAAGCAATCAAACATAGAAGCAGAGAGCAGAACAGTGATTACCAGAGGCTGGGAATTAGGGAAAGTGGGAAGTTATCGGTCAAAAGGTACAATGTTTTAGATAAGAAAAATAAATGATAAGTATTTCAAGTGATATATATATTAACGAGCTTAATTCAATCATTCCAGATTGTATACACATATTATAGCATCATTTTTTGTCTCATATTTCATTAAAATTTGTCAATATCAAATAAAAAAGAAAAATAGAATAAGAGATATATTTTAAACAAAAATTAAAGTGCACTAAAGTACTAAATGTAATAAGTAAAACTATAAAACTCCTAGAAGAAAATCTGCGGGGAAATCTTCATGACCTCAGATTTGGCAATACTTTCTTGGATATGATACCAAAAGCACAATAAATGAAAGAAAAAAAATAGATACTCTGAATTTCAAAATTAAAACATTTTGTGTATCAAATGACACCATCATGAAAATTAAAAGACAACCCACCAAATGGAAGAAATTATTTGCAAATAATGTATCTGATAAGGGTCCAGTATCCAAGATATATAGAACACTTACAATTCAAAAATAAAAAGACAAACAACTCAATTCAAAAATGGACAAATAAATTGAATAGACTTTCCTCCAAAGAAGATATACAAATACTCAATAATTGCATTAAAAGATGTTCAACATCACTAAGCACTGGAAAAATGCAAATCAGATCCACAATAAGATGTCAGTTTATATCCACTAGGATTGCTATATTCAGAAAAATGGAATACAAGTGCTCGTGAAGACGTGGAAAAATTGGAACTCTTGTACATTACTAGTGAGAATGCAAAAATGATGCAGCCACTCTAGTAAACTATCTGTTGGTCCCTCAAAAAGTAAAATATAAAATTATTATATGTCCCAGAAATTTCATTGCCAGGTATATACTCAGAAGAATTGAAAACAAGTGTTCAAATAGATATTTGTTCACTTATGTTTGTAATAGCACTATTCAATAATAGCCAAAAGGTAAAACAACTCAAATGTCTATCAACTGATGAATAGATACACAATGTGATATGTCCATACAAAAAGGAATGAAGTACTAACTTATGCTACAGCATGAATGAATCTTGAAAACATTATGCTAAGTGAAAGAAGTCAGGAACAAAAGGTCATATATTATATGATTTTACTTACAGTTATACAAAATATCCAAAATAGGCAAATCCATAGAAACAGAAAGCACATCGGTGGTTGACAGAGACTGGACAGAGAGGGTGTGACTGCTTGAGGGGTACAGAGTCTTCTTTTGGGGAAATGAAAATACTCTGAAACTAGATAGTTGTGATGGTTGCGCAACATTCTGAATATACTAAGAGCTACTGAATTACAATTCTCTTTAAAATGGTTATAATGGTGAATTTTATGTCATGTGAATTCTACTTCCATTTTAAAACAGAGTTTGGAAGTATACATTTTGAAATTTCAAAGACAAAATTTGCATTGTTTAAATATAATAGACTTGTCTATGTAGAAACCTACTGGTATCAACAAACAATGGTTTCATTCAGCACAGATAATAAAGTTGCTTAAATGGCAAACTACAATCGATTAAAAAAAATGACTCTCCTAAATATCAGCAATAACACTCATAAAATGTCATGAAAAATTATCCCATTCATAAGAGAAAACATACTTAGTTTTTAAGCTGTTGTTGGAACTTACCCTAAAATGTAAAAGATCTATATGAAGAAAACTATTAAAGTTTATTGTAATTATTTAATTAAAACTTTTTGCATTTTAAAATATTTTTTAAATTTATTTTTATTTACTTTAAAGATGTGAGGTACAATTCAAGATTAGGTAGATAAGTGGTCATCTAAAGGTAAAGCATGGGCCTCCTTTTGGTCCCCATTTCACCTGGTTTGAGATCAGATACCCTTATTAATGTTATGTGTCCACCCTTCAAATGTTTTAAAATATTTTTAACAAAATAATTCTAAAGTTCACCTGGAAGAGAAAAAAAGGTAAGCAATCCAGGAAAATGTTGACAAAAAAGAGTAATGATAAAAATATATTCTGAAATTATAATTGAATTAAGTAATATAAAAATAGAAAGGTATATCAATGGAAAATAAAGTATCATCATATATATACAATTAATGTGCAAAGTTAGTATGCAAAAGCAGTGAGAGGATTATCAAACAATAGTACTGAGAAAATTGGTTTTCTATTTAGAAAAAGTTATCCTTGCCCAAAATATACATTAAAAAGTCTATATGGAGTAAGAGTTAAAATTTCAAATATTAAACTTTAAAACAATTAGATAAATCCGTAGGTGAATTGTTAATTTTATCTCAAAATGGAGAATGGTTTTCTAAACTTAAGAGCAAAGAAAAATGTTAACAGAAAATGACTGATAAACTTAACTGCATAAAATTTAATTCTTTATACTAAAAAAACCTATTCCACTCATGAGGAATTATGTTCTTACTCATGAGCAGGCCCTGAACATTTACCATAATACAATAAGAAAGGAATTGGCAGTAGCAAGATACTGCCAGGGTGGGGGCTGGGGGAGACACAGTATCAACAAGGGTACTCGATCTTAAACCAGGCAAAATAGGTACTTCAGGGAGGCCAAAACTTTACCTCTACAATGGCCACCTGTATACCCGTTCCTGAATTGTAC